TCAGATCATGCAAACACCTTAATAACGGAGATACAATACTTCCTTGAAGCTCGTACCTCACTTCACCATTCGAAGTGAAACCATGAGTATTGAGCCCTGAATCAGACCGAGGTTCGGTTTGATGGCGTGAGGCGTGAATGATCGATTATCGATATTTCTCCATTTGAATCCGTGATAAAAAATCGATTATTAAGGTGTTCGCTGCGAACACCCTGTTAATCGATCCTTTTCCATGGGTTTAAATGACAGATCAATCGATACATCGCAAGACACGCCACGCCACTGTTATCGATGGCTAAATTGGGAAACCGCGTATCTCCGGTTGCGACGTGGACGGACTTCTTGTCCTCCTTAATTTTTTCTTTGGAAGACTAGTCGACGTAATCTCTTCAAAACAATGGAGATGTTGCAAGTGTGAGGAATTTGCAATTTGACTGTTGATTCTTCTATAAAAGTTCGCGAGAAACAAGATGAAGCCACTGGTTTTCTCTGAAATCAACTCCCAAGCTCAAAAAAGCTCTCAAGTTGAGGCCAAAATGGAGGGGATATCCTACGCTATCCTAGGGTCCACGTCTACATCAAAACAAACTCTCCATGCAAAGATACGGAGCAAATACATTAGCAGGGTTGCCGTGTTTTCAGTTTTGGAGTCCCCAAATAAAGTGGCAGCCCTGTCAATGTATTTGCTCCCTATCTTTGCATGGAGAGTTTGTTTTGATGTAGAGGTGGACTCTCAGGGTAGGGTGGGATATCCCCTCCATTTTGGCCTCAACTTGAGAGCTTTTTTTAAGCTTGGGAGTTGATTTCAGAGAAAACCAGTGGCACCATCGTGTTTCTCGCGAACTTTTACATAAGAAACAACAGTCAAATCGCAAATTCCTCACACATGCAACATCTCCATTCCTGATTTTTTTTCGCTCTTTAAGCAGAATATTTGTGTATAGATTTCAAGCCATGAAGTTGGCTTGCTCCACTTCGAAAGAATAAACTAGGATCGGAAATTTTGAATCAGCGCGATGAAGACGCGCGGTTTTGCACTTGGGCCATCGGTATTTGGACGTATTTCTGTCAAACGGAACTATGTGCAATAAGACATGAGCCCTGAGACCCATAAGCATGTGTGCATAACAGGGCTCACGTCATAATGCACATAGTTCCGTTTGATAGAAATACGTTCATTTCGACCGCGACCCTCGAACGTCGAGCTGATCGCGATTGGGAACGAAAACCTCGCCTGGTTCCCCGAGCCCACCGGAACGGCGTAAGCTAATGCTTTTCAACCAAATCAACGTTTTCGGAATATTTTCACTCGGAGTCAGCGACGTGCAAATCCGCCGTTTGACAGAGTTTCGGGCTCATTAATTAGTAATCGGGAGACTCGCGGAAGTGACGGCCCGCGCCCGCGCCGCGTTGCCAAGTCGTCGCGCCTCCGCACAGACTCCCGCGCTCCCGTGCTAAGGAAAAACGCCGTATGAGCCTTGAGGCGTTGCCAAATTTCCATTAACAAATCACTCATTTTCAAGGAAATTTCTGCATGTTTTCCTGAAAATTTCTCAGATAGTTTTGCTCGTACTTCTATCTAAAAATGGAGATGTTGCATGTGTGAGGAATTTGCGATTTGACGATTGATTCTTATGCAGAAGTTCGAGAGAAACACGATGGTGCCACTGGTTTTCTCTGGAATCAACTCCCAAGCTCAAAAAAAGCTCTCAAGTTGACGCCAAAATGGAGGGGATATCCCACGCTATCATGAGAGTCCACGTAAACATCAAGACAAACTCTCCATGCAAAGATAGGGAGCAAATACATTGACAGGGCTGCCACTTTATTTGGGGACTCCAAAACTGAAAACACGGCAACCCTGTCAATGTATTTGCTCCCTATCTTTGCATGGAGAGTTTGTTTTGATGTAGAGGTGGACTCTCAGGATAGCCTGGTTATCCCCTCCATTTTGGCCTCAACTTGAGAGCTTTTTTTGAGCTTGGGAGTTGATTTCGGAGAAAACCAGTGGCACCATCTTGTTCCTCGCGAACTTTTACATAAGATTTTAGTATCAAATCGCAAATTCCTCACACATGCAACATCTCCATTCTAACAATTTCAATTAAAAATATCGATTATTTTCCTCAAAAATAAACATTTTATTGGAGGAAACTTGACAACTCTCGCATGCTCATACGGCGTTCCTCCTCAGCACGGCAGTGCTTTCTCCGGATAAGCCAACCAAAATGAGTCAATTGCTTGCAAAATCCGGGCACCGCTGCTTTCGAGGCGTGTGAATGGTGTACTTTGACGAATTCGCAGCGGTGTGAGTAGGTCCTTGCTGCCATTTCAGACAAGAATTGCCAAAATCAGTGTTAAGAACGCTTAATATTTACTTCGAAGGAGTGTGAAGAAACAAAATTAGGCGCTATTTTGAGCGCATCCACCGCAAAAGAGCAGTTTTAAGTTCGGTAAAATCTAGGAGTATCGTTGGGAAGGAGGAGCATCAGGAAGGACAATGTCCCTTTCGTTGTCCCCCATCCCTGCATTTGAAATTGATTTTCGGGCAATATTAGTCAATTTTGCACCATTCACCGAAAAAACGACAAAATGTTCCAAATAAAAATTCATCTCCTTAACTAAAAAATTTAATTTTGGTTATCTCTTGCTTTTAGAATATTAAAATTACCGATAATTTCGTGGAACCGTTACCATGTCTGTTCAGATTATATTATTTAAAAAATTGATAATCCAACGATCCTATCTGTAGATTTTACGATTCAAAAATATAACACGGTGTGATATTCTAAGTTAACCATTATAATGAAGATAAGTATTTTTGAAATAATCACCAACAATATAAGTATACATATTCACTAATAACTAAATTATTTATGATGTAAGTTTTAGAAATAGAATAAATAAATACTATCAGGTACTGTGTTGGTTTCTTTTATCATATATTTTTAATCCAATTCCAACTTAGGAGCCCAATGCAAATGAATTGCAATTAAATTGATTAATGCAATTAAATAAATTCCCTCCCCTCCCTTCTCTAAGATAAGACTACGAAAACATCTGACGAAGTATTAAAACTTGTCGTGGACCCAAGTTTGTTTTTGTAAAAATTGGATTTTCATTAATGACATTGTTCAATATTAGCACACTTCACGCTTTAAATGCTGTTTGTTCGAGTGCTTTTTTTTTTCAGTACTTATTTTTCCTTCTTTTTCTTCTCCGTTTTAGTGAAGTAAGAGCTGAAATAGCAAAAATTTTAAACATTTCAACGTCTAGGCGCTAGGTTTTCATCAACTTAACTTCATCACTTGATTAAGCTAGGATGCTTCTGAGCTTTTAATTGACTTAAACTTGAGATTTGAGTGAGGTTAACAAGGGACAAATCTGCTTAAAAAGTGATCTAGACTGGCCCAGTCATTGCTCATTCTAATGATTACAGTCATATCGGGAAGAAGCGAAAACTCGCCACTTATTACAATTTATCCGAGTTGGCCCGAACGTCTAAAAGCGCCTGCAGAAACACTTGATGCAACCTAGGATACGCGGACGTGCTGATTGCATCGTCTCAAATTGCGGGCGCTTTAACTGAGAGAACTTCGGGGGCAGTGACAATGACCAGACGGTGTTACTTTCTCGATGACAGTTAAGGGAACTCGGAACTCCGCAACTCCGCCACAAATGAATAGTCCAGTCATTCACTAAAAATACCCTGGGAGTAACAAAAGCTGATGACCGATTATTCTTTTAACACAGTATCCAAATGTTTCAGCGAGATCCACCATAATTTCAGTTCACCTACTACCTTAATTTTTTCTGACTTGAACCGTTCAAATCATCCTTTATTCATCCACCATTTCTATCATTATCACAGCAGGTTGTTCAATTAGGGAGAATTTTATCGATTTATAGAATATTTACTCGGAAAAAGCTTAGGAAAGTCAGGGAATAATAATTTTTCATTTCTGTGGTCACCCTATAATTTACAATATTAATTATTCCTTGACTTTCCTAGGCTTTTTCTAAGTAATCTTGAGTAAATTCTCTGGCTTTTGAGACAGTAACAGTTGATTGATACTAATTTCAATATTTTCAGAGCCGTATAAAACAAGTCAAAGTTATGTAATTAAACATGTGAAGACTTACAATTATGCGATCATCATTCCTCAAGCGTGATTTTCCCCTCATTTGTGGGCCATTTATTTCCCCCCCCCCCAGGTTAGTACCCACCTGTTTCAGGTTTTCCCTGACTGTGACCACTCTAAGAACAGCCCTGAGACACCCTGTCATAGACTCTTACTTATCTTGTAACTTTTGCTGCTGTTTTCATTTCACAGATGCAGTGGGTCATTAAGGTATTCAGGACTCAGTACATTTTCTTTACAAACTACATTTACATTTACACAGTACATTTTCTTTAGAGGGAAATTTGTGCTCGAATGAGCTTTTCCCTCTGTATTGAGATTTTCAGCTTTATGCTGAATTTTTTAACGCACGTTGGCAAAAAAACTCCAACAAACATTTTCTTTGTTTATATTTCTTTAATCATACTTTAAATCCCATTTCGGTTGTAAAGGAACATACATCTCATGACTCCAGCATATTGTGTCCCTCTGATGCCATATTTAACATGACATGATCTTCATTTTTATCCAATCAGATGCCTTCAATCTGTCAAAGCATGTGATGACATCATGACCACTGTGATTAATGTGAAAACCAATTTACATAGCCTAAATATCATGATCCTGTGTCTGTAGAATGTGATGCTCAACATAAGATACATAAAATAAGAATGTTAGTATCCTTATTTCTTTTATTTGACGATCTTTGCGGCACAGTTCTTTACAGAAAATTTATATTTTTAGGAACTTCAAGATATGAAACTAAGTTTCTGATAATATTTGTCTTTGTTCTCCCCTTTTTTTAAATTTTTTTGTATTCTATGAGTTTCTACTCCTTTATTATTCAGAAAAAGTGACAAAAATAAAAATTAGACTTACAGTGTTTGAAGGACTTTTCAATGGTTTTGCTGTCTTGAGCATGATGGAATTCGTACAGTGACTTGGTGAGCAAAGTATCTGGATCATAACCAAGAAAATCTGCCATTCTGTAAAAGAATAAAATTACTGATGTAACTGAAATAAGCACTAAAATAAGATAAAAAGCTCTTTTTATCACTACTTGCACACGTACGCACACCTTTAGACAATCCTGTATGCACACACATCTTCACGGGAAAAATGAGTATTCTTTGCGGAAGTGCAAGAATTTTCCGACTAAGCGACCATTTTAGTCCTGTGCCAGTTTTATGGAATGAGGGAATTCTAGTAAAATCGGGAAAAAATCTGAACGAGAGAACTCTGCCAGATTTTTAGAAGTTTTTATTTTCCCAGCGTTTTCGTGGTGGTGAAGTTAAATATTAGGGGAATTTCGGTGAAAAGTTGAGGAAGGCTTGCGATTTTTTGGCACCACTGATTAATTGAAACTATTTTCTTGCATTATATATTTTTTCTTTCGCTAGATATTTTTTATTTCACTAGGTAATTTTAACCTTCACTCTTCTCTGTGTGCATGACAGCCATTCTTTGACTTATTTTCATTGCTACCTGCTCCCTTCTCGCAACGACCTGCCTGAAGTTTAGAATTAAGAGTGTTCAACAGCCGTTTCTCAGTTTCTGAGGTACTAAGTTAATTTCCTGTTTGTTGGTTTAAAATCAAGACCAAAGACACCGTGAGGATAAAGATATTAATTTCCTACAAAAAATGGGTGGCGGTTGAATTTTCTCCTCAATTCTAGAGGTTTCTTCCCGAAAATTTCTGTAATATGGCAAGCTCTTCATATTTGTGAGGGACCTGCAGATTAATTTATTTAAATTATGTTTGCACAAAAAGACAGAGGAGAATAGCCCTATTTTAGCCATGCAACACTTACATCACATTTTAATGTATTGTGACTGCTAGAAACTTTCAATAATCAGCCCGCTGTTCACAAACAAGGCTTAAAAAGCTCTAGGTCACTCCATACTCTCACTTTCTAATTGTGTAAGACTCTAATTTACACCCTCAAATAGCACTGCTGATAATGTTAATAAATTCCTAGATTTAAAGGTAAAACGCTACACAAGAGGAAAAGAAGAAGACACAAAAAAATTAGCTTGAGCTGTATCTAACAAAGTGGTAAAACAGTGCAGGGTTCACATTATTTTGCGGAGAAAGCAAGACCAAAAATTCCAATTAGTCAACATTCTTGTGCTTTCACGAGTATCAGTACAAAACTGACACTCTCCACCCTCAGTCTAGTACTAATACTCATTCAAGCTCAAAAATGTTGACTCTAATTAAAATTGTTGAACTTTTTGGCCTTGCTTTCCCCACAAAATTATGGAGACCTAAGACTATGTTACCAGCTCGTTACAATAGAGCAAACTGGAGAAGAGAGGGTACTTTTTCTTAATTGGTTACACTGTTCTAATTTTGATTTTTTGAGTCTGCGTTTGTAAAATATTTGAATAATTTCAAGAAGAACTCCCTAAGTCAATTTTCCTGGACATTTTGTAACCTACCTGGGATATGAGAGGAGTGTCAAAGATGTCTCATTGGATCTGTTAATTTCAAGATTTGCAAAAATTTTGAATTATTTGTTTATTAGGCCTCTATAAGTACTATCTGTAATGTAAAGACAACCTGTTTCTGCAGTTTCTTCGCAATTTTGCTTTTTTCTGTCTGACATGATATTCCTGCTTTTACACAGTTTTGTTTTTAATTTTTCTGTAGGTAAAATGTGCTTGTAATTTCGTAAAAATTCTAAAGTACTTAATTTCACAGAAGAAGAAATGAAAAGGTCTTTATTGGTAAAAAGTGACAATGAAGAGAATCAGTCATTTTTGTGATATATCTATCTATCCTATGATTCCACATCTCTTCTTCAATTCATCAAAGGCTTGATCTGATATTCACAGGAGAGGCCATGAAAGATATCTTTCACCGAGAAAAAATTATCAGAGGGTTTTAGTTTTTGAATACATATAAAATTTTTGAAAATTTTGATTCCAAATACTCACTTTTCATCAGCGTAAGTGAACTTCATATCAAGTGAATGCTTTGAGAGGAAAGTGCGGGAACCAAGAGGTATTTCAATGTTTGATGGATGCGGTATGGGTTCTCCGATAGCAATTAAACAACAAGACATGGGTGAGTCACTTTTGTCTGAGTTGTCATTGTCTTTGTCTGATTTTGTATCGCTTTTTACGTTCAATGGTAGAACAAGGTGGCCTGTGCAATGGATGACCTAGAACACAACAAATGACAAATAAATAATCGAAATAATATTTGATGAGAAATTCTGAAAATACAACAACAGATGAAAAGCTAAAAAGTTTTCCTGTTGAAATATATTTTTATTGGGCATTCCCCCTTCATTCTGATGGTCTAAGGTAGAGGTAATCTTTTACTTTGATGAACTTAATCTTCAATTTTCCTGTAGAACAGAGACTGTAACCCTTCTGAAAGAGGTAATATTTTTGGCAGAGCATAGATGGAAGAACACATGTTTTATGAGACATGTCGTTACAGTAATCAATTTGAAAGAAGTCAAAACTAAGAATCAACATTTTTTTAGACATCAAATTCCCTGTTGTACTTGTATTTTAGTTGGAACTGACAAGGAAATTTTTTTAAAACCTAATAAAATGCTGGTTAAGCGTACTTTTGTCACATCTTATACCTTACAATGCAGACAAGCGGAAGATTTGTGCCATGAAAGAGGAATATAATTTGATCTTGCTCAGATGAAATTAAGCCGAAATCTAATAAAATTTTAACTCTTTTGCAGACCAGATAAACAAATATCACTCACACACACCCTTACAACCGCGCCCCCCACTCACACACACACAATCATGATCTAAGAATATTCATCCCAATACTTCAAATGAAATTCTAGCATGCATACTTTCTTTCAATTACATTATTTTTTTTCCTTCTTTTTAGATACATTTTTTCTTTTTTTCTATTTTTTCATTTTCTTCGATTTGTTTTTATTACCTATTTAAATTTCAAAGTAAAGGCAAGTGTAACATATATATTTTGTATTGCCCACCACTAAATCGGATTCATGTTTCGACAAAGGGGGTGGAAAGGTAGTTTCACGATTTTAAGTGCAGCACTCCAAAGAGTCTATTCTCATACCCTACTGGGTATAAAGGTATGCTGTCTTTTTCTAAAAAGTAATGTGGGCCAAGACATCAAACACCTACCGAATAGTGAATTGAAATCTCTGACGCACACTCTGCTACTTTTTATTCCATACGATGATGGAGCCTAATTTCGTATGCATCAACATACACTCATTTTATTCCTGACAGTTTGTCGAACACTCATTGTGAGCTCCTTTCAGAAAAGCAAAGTGCGCACAGGAAGCTTTACTAATGACTCTGCTAACCATGAAATGTATTTTTAAAATGTCTATCCATAGAATAAAAAAGCACGGTTCCACACATCAACTCTTTTCCACCATGCCTTAAATTTCAGATTTCAATACTGATACTTACTTTGTATGAGGCAGATTTGAAATTAACACTTTTTCCTTTGCTTGTTAAAGTGCACTTTAACCGCATGAAAAAGGACCTTTCGGGTGAGGGTTCTTTAACTGACAATATGTCGCGCATTTCGTTGTGGTCACAGGGGTGAGACACATCGTAAATACTTTGACCAACGAGTTCAATCTGAAAAGAGATGGATAAAAGTTCAATTAGAAATCAAAAAAATGTAAAAGCAGGCACCTTTAAAATTCATGAGCCAAACTCACTAGTGTAAGCACTCACTCAGTTACTCTTTAACATTTAAAACTGCATAGAAGCTAAAATATTTTTTCATGGTTAAAGATGACTAAAGGAATAGGAAAAAAATCGATGATCCCTTTCATTTTTTCCCTTTTTTTTCTATTATTTATTGTAAAACTATCACTAAGGATATCAAATACATTATTCTTAATACTAAATTATGTTGGTTGATTAGACGACGGAGAAGTCAAATATAGTTCTAAAGGAGTGGCCGAAGTCACTTTTACAAGGGAGCAACTACTCCCAACTCGGGGTTATAACCCGAATACTTGTTAACGAGCCACGGAAGCAAGCTCCCATGGCTTCGTCCTTTCATTTCTGCTGAAAAAATTGTTTCTCAATAATTTACTGCTTTCAGCTAAAAAAAAAAAAGAAAGGTTGCATTCAGCACCCTTTCTGACTCCGCTTGGATCTTGTCATTTTCAAAGTACCTGCCAGTCCTCGGCCAAATATTTCGCCAATCAAAACCTATGTACCAAATATTCGTAGATATAAACTGTTTTTTTAGCAAGTATTTGGCTTCCATCACTTTTTTAAAAGGCACGTCTCGTACGTCTCGTACAGCTTTTCTCGTGCGTCTTTATGACCTTTAAATTGGCATTCGATGGTCTCAAGGCAGCCTCTGTACCAAATAAAAGAATATTTTGCCGATTTTTGAGAGATTATCAGTTTTACGTATGTTGATTTTAATTTAACCTGCGTGATAATTAATCATGTATATTTCTTAAAAAAGTGAGAAAAATGGAGAAGGAAAAACTTTTCCAAATTTTCTTTCTTTTCCGAAAAAAAATTTGCCAAATTCTTTAAGAAAAATCATTCTAACGTGCCTAAAAATTAATGAATATGAATTGCGAGGATTTTAATTTTGGGAAATCCATCATTCCTCTTTAAAATCGCAGAGGGGGAAAATGCCTATAATACCTATCCAGAATGAGGAGTGAGGACTTACAGCGAAAATTCCTTAGAGGTGCTGATTACCATTCAATTAAAAACGCTTCTTTCAGAGCAAAAATGGTACCTATTTTTGACATGATCAAGTGAGTAATACGCAACCTTGGAAGAAACAGTCAAATTTTGAATTCTTTCTTGGGCAATAATAGTACACAGACCTGAGATAATCCAAGGTACTCGTTCACATTTTCGGATAGGAAAACGATATCACCATCAGCAGATAGGACCAAAAGAAATCCTGTTAGAGCCTCCAAAAACATGGGATCGTACTTTGGATCGGGTTTGATACTGGGCATCACAGGCACTGAAATAAAGAGAGAACAATAAAATTGATTGGAAGGCAGTAATGATTCATACACTTTCAAATTCGGTTGCAAAAACGAAGGGCAAGGTTTAAAAGGTTTCAGAGATTCCAAAAAAGGAGAAGAAAGAGAAGATGATAGACGTGGTTCGTCGATTGTACTTGCCGACCATCGAATCCGATCGAAGTTTATGCAATTACAATGAGAGAGGCTGTCCGATAAGGTAGAGAGCCTTCAGTAAGTAGGATAGGCAAAACACCCGCCGAAATGTAACTACCACGATGGCACGCTCCGGTAACAAGGTTCTGTGACAAAATTATTTTTGTCTTAAGAGTTTTCAAAATGTATACATCATAGTGATCGAACATCCAACTACTCAAAAAAATGCGGTGCGAGCCGAATGTTTTTCCCGTAGCGAGTGACCGGGGATCCAGGGAGCGCAGCTCCTTGGCTATAGCCGTGACGGACGCGCGCATACGGCTAGTTTTCTAAAAAATTCTACGTTTCCAGGACTATCCAAGAGAAAAAAAACATACTCAATATGGGCAAGTTATAAGTAAGACGAGAAAATTTCATTTGAATGGTCTTTTGTTTCTTAACTTAGCTTGAAAAAAGATTTGAGATTCTATAACTTTTTCTTAGATTCGTGTTATTTTTTTCACTGATTCTCGGACTGAAAAGCTTCATGGGAAAATCCTAGGTTTTCATAGCACTCGGGAAATTGCCTAATTTGCAAGTGCTAAGAGATGACCGAAAATCCAGACAAAATAAAAGCACTATTAGCTTCTTATTGGGTCGGTGGCGCAGGGAACAGAATCGTGTTTTGATGTTCAATTGTTGTAGATGAGCTAAAAGTAATGAGATCCGTCCAAACAATAACTTGTTGCGTTCATTCAATTTTAACTGAGACATCGCGATGTGGAAAATTCGGTTTATGAAGTCATCTGCCGCGGTAGTGACACGGCACCCTTGGTTTCTCCCACCTTACTCTCATCAGTCACTGCGAAATACATACGCACTGGTTACTCAACGTGCAACTCGGATGAAAGCGAGGTGGAAGAAACCAAGGGTGTCATTACCGCGGTGGATGACGTCATAAACAGAATTTTTCAAAGCGCAATATTTCGGTTACTAGTGAACGTAGCTGAGAGTTGCTGTTTGGACAGATCTAATTATTTTAAGCAAATCTACAATAATCAAGCATCAGAACACGTTTTTGCGACCAGCCCAACTGGCCACTTGCGGTGGGTACAGTACCTATATTAAGAGAGTATGGCCACTGAGCCCCACGGAGAGGCTTAGGACCCAAAAATGGCGGTGCTTTGTTTTGGTTTTTGTGGATGGGAGGGGGGTCATTGCCAACTTTTGACGGTTACCACCAACCGTACTTGCTGCCAACCTTACTACATTCAAGATAATTTTTCTCAAAAATTGCACACGATTAGTCTTAAAAATATGTAAAGAAGTCGCAAGAGTGCATTTGAGTAAATTTCTCGTTACGATAAGCAAAGAAAACTACATTTTGAGTCATTTTGCATTACATTAATTGGACTGCATTTTGCAATTCGGAACTATAAATTCTGGCCCGGTTAAAAAACAACGTATGTGCCATTAGTTTCCCTATGCACATAAGTGTTTTTCAGATGAGCCAGAATTTATAGGTCCAAATTGCAAAATGCAGTCCAATTTATGGCGTCCGCCATTTTTGGGTCCTAAGGGCTCCATTCAGCCTAAGATGGCTGAGCCAATCAGAGGTGGTAACCCCAGTGGCCATACTCTCTCAATATAGGTACTCTAGAAAGCGAAGGAGAGGGATCTGAGGCTGGATCCATCCGGGGATGGGGGGGGAGGAGGAGGAGGGGGGAGGGGGTGTCGTGAATTGCAAATCGCGAGTGGCGAGCGCGATCACCACTTCCGTCTCTCGATGTCGTCTCGTCGGTGGGCTGTGGCCTGGGGCATGTCGCTCTTACTTATAACCGGGGCCCGTCAAGGTCATCAGACTACGATTCCATCACACCATCAGTTCGACGGTGCAGTTAAGTCGACTATCGAGCAGAGAATCGATCCCAATCGGCCGGGAAAAATCGATCGAATCCAAAGAGTCGATCTACCGAAAGACCAATCCGACGATTTCGATCTTGCGAGAGGTCAATCCGACGATTTCGATCGTTGGATAGATCAATCCGAAGATTTCGAAAGATCCATCCAACGATTCCGATGTTTCTTACTCATTTAAAATTGTACATTAGTCGATCGAGTACGCCTGGGTTTTCGTAGAGTGATCCTGAATCGATTTGAGATCGTCACGCGGCGACCCAGAATCGTCACGTCAGATGACGACGACGATCTTGGATCGATTCTGCGAACATACAAAGAAATAATTTGTATGATAACGCTGCTCACCAAATAATTTGTTTGATTTTCACAAAGACGACGGGTTGAATTTTAGCTCTGATTCTAAAAATGACCTCCGTTTTTTGGCTCGATTCGATTTTCCCCGGACAAATCGGCTTATCCCTTGAAAAGAGAGCTTTTCCAGAGAAAAGTCGATTTTCCGGAAAATCTGTGAACGGGGGAAAAATTAAGGCTATTCGGATTCTGTACCCAAAATTATCTTTTTGTTGCTAACATCGAAGTTTTTCTGGTCAAGTGCGCCCTTCCGCCCATTCACCACCATGTGAAGCTCATCAGATTGTTTTGTGTGAGGTAAGAGGGGAACACTGTTTTATCTCTGGTAACAAATGGGATAGTTGCCACTCTATTTTACTGCTGAAACCGAAAACGATCTTCGTTTTCTCTGAAAAACCTACAAAATTTTTGAAAAATGGATTTTTCTAAAAAAAAATTGTTTTTTAGCTTTAAAAAAACCATTCTAATGGAGACATGATTTTCCGGAGATTTTGGAAGAGGGCGAGGGTCTGAGGGTCATTTTCAGTTTCAGTGGTAACAATCGACCAGCAATAATCCCATTTGTTACATAAGAAAAACAAATTCCCCTCCTTCCAGACGTAAAACAATCGGAGGAGCTTTACATGGTGGTATATGGGTGGAAGGGAGCACTTGACCGGAAAAACCTTGATGTTAGCAACAAAAAGGGAATTTTAGTAGGCATGTAATACAAAAATTCTCGTGTATTTTGGTTGCTGAACCCGATTATGACTTAAATTTTTTTCCACCGTCCACAGATTTTACGGAAAACCGACTTTTTTCTGGAGAAGCTAGATTTTTGGAGAAATTGCCCATTTTTCCGGGGAAAATTGAACTGATCCAGATAAACGGAGGCTATTTCTGGAATCAGCGCTAAAAATCAACTAAACATAGGTGAACAAATTTTTCGCAATCGACCCGTGTTGACCAGTGAACAGTTGATTACTATGATTTGTACCCACATTTTAAAAAAAATCCGTTTTTCATTGATAGTTGTGTTTACGTCACGACAACGTTCGACTACGTGAGAACCCCGCCCCTCAGCGACGGTAACGGCGAGAACCCACCGGGGCTTTTTTCTGCGCGATTCGACGCTGCGACAAAGCTCCTGAAATCAGCCCGTGGAGACTTGGCCTACGACTTAATATCACTGGTTGAGTTCAACGTCTATTTTCACATGCACAGTATTTTTTCCTCAACTTGGAATTTTTAACAGGAGAAAATGTACGGCTGTTTAAGCTCAGAACCACTTCTGTCTCTCTTTTTTCTTTTTTTTTTGGGGGGGGGGGGGATTTGATTCTTTTTGGCTTATTTCGGTCTAAATGATCTGACTACGAATCGACCTGACCTCAGTACTATTATAATTTGACAAAAGAGACGTTGAATCGCTCCCACGTAAAACTCATGACAAAGCTGCAAAGCTGAACACACGTTAAAGATTTATCACACCAGTGCGGAAGCAGTGCTCACTGTCAATATATCGTAATAAACTATACCACGCGTCAAAAGCATGAAACTTGAGCATTTTCGACTGATTGGCCGGTTGTTTGATAATCTCAGTCGGTTTTTCTTTCCACCCATTTTTTTACCTTTTTTCCAATCTTGAGGGGAATTGAGGACTGACTGTTTACAATAGATCGGTCGCAACACACATGCTGGAGAGGAGTGACAGCAGAGAATGTCATGATTAGACAGATACAACCAGTGGTGATTCTTGAAAGTTGGCAACGCTGTGTTTCCTCCATTTAAATCCATTGAAAATATCGATTTTACCGGTAGGCTGCTTTATCGAGAATCGATTATTTTAGATACTTTTAAATGGAGTAAAACCCGTGTTGCCAACTATCAAAAATTGCACAACCAAAATCAGTCTGACTACATCATACCAACTTTCCTCTCACATGTTTTTTCAACTATTTAATTTGAAAATCGTGCATTTTTTTATGACTTGGAGAAAAACTAAAAAGGTCAAGGTCAAGGCGTTGTGTTCTTCAACGCTCTATGAATGCAACGTGAGACGGAAAGATAGGCCAATCAGAACCATCTGAATCTTTGCATTTATTAGAAAGTCATCAATTACACAGGCTAGATCAATTGAGGCTTTTGCATTAGGGATAGGTATGAAAACAATGAGGCAGATGCACTTTTGGACCGCGTCAAGCGGAAAGGAAACGCCAAATCACCTATAGCCGAATTTAATTTGGCAGTTTAATTTTTTACATGAAAACGGTTGTGCGGATTTTTGTGCAAATTTCAGTGAATTTTCTGCTTAGTACGAAGCAAATCCCTTGAAATTTTCAAAGGAGCCGCACAGACTTTCTCTTGTAAAAATTTAACAAGCCCAGTTTTTGGCAATAGTTGATGTGGCTGGGTTTCTTTCTGCTAAACGCGGTTCATTTGACTATATCTCTAGCTTCATCTACTTTTCAGGACGTTGCAAGATTCATTAAGCGCTAATCCATCAGTGACCAATAATTATTTGTCTTCACTCCGAGAAATTAGAGGAGATCTGTTAGATTTTAAGCGCTCAAAAAATGTTGGATGGGTGGCTCGAGCCATTCGACGGATAAATTGA